TGGCCTACTAGAGAACTTCCCATGGGTCACTAGACGGCCACTGTATGGACAGAATAATGGACCAGATCAGCGTGAGAGCAAAACTAGGTCATTGCCCCCAAAACAAAAATCCACACACATCCCCATGTGTCCTGTTTTGCCCTTGGGAAGCTAGTGAAACTCCCGCCCCAAAGCCTCAGTGTCTTAAGCAGCAAGAGAGAGCCCAAGCTCATGAAGGCATCAGTAGAAAAGCAGTGGCCATCTAATCCATACCAGATCCTTCACAAGTCCATATTCAGTCCAGGAAAGCAATCCAAAGGGTAATTGAAAGAAATATCAGAGTCCAGGCAGAGTTTAAGGCACCAGCATGGCTTTCTCCCAAGGAAGATGGATGGTTGTCAGCCATGATGTAATGTGGGAGGTGCTGGGATATTTATAACCCACCCAGGTCTCACAGGTGCTCCCTATTAGCAGCCTGCTTCTTGCTTAAATGCTGAAAGCACTGCTGTCTCTCCCTTTCCTGATGTCTCTCTGCAGGGATGGACAATGGTAAGTCTGGCTTTTCATCTGAGGGTTGTGGCTACTGTGAACTTTGCTTTTGTGGCTGCTGGGAACTCGGCCTCTTAACTGGCTTCAGGTGCCCCAAACACACTGCAGAAATAACCCAGTTTGGGTCCACTTTAACTGCCTGACTCAAATGCTAGGGAATTCTAGGAACTGTAGTTTTGTGAGACATGGAGCCTTCTCTGTCAGAGAACTCTGATGCCACAATAAATTACAGTATCCAGAATTCCCTAGCACTGAGCCAGAGCAATTAAAGCAGTCTCAAACTGGATTATTTCTGTGGTGTGTTTTGGACCAGGCTCTCCTCCTGGGGCTTCTGCAAGCAACCCAGGCATGTCCCCTGGGCTCTCAGAGCCTTCAGGTTCAGAAGACATGCCAGGATCCTGGAACCAGGGCATCACACAATGAAATTTTCCTTCATTCCCCAAATTTCTGGTATTGTAGTAACTTAAAACTTCAGAGGAACATTTAGAAATAGAATTTAGGCAACCAAGCAAAAAGGAGCAGGTAAAGTGACCTAGGGAATGTGAAGCCAGAAAATATAAGCGTTGTATGTGTGATTCAGCCAGTGTCCATGCTGGCTGGGGGGTTCTGGGTGTTGTAGTCACCTGAAAGGGACTAGACAAAGTTCTGGGCATTGCAGTACTTTTTAGCAAAGGATATTCTGAAGCGAAGAAGAGGTGTACTTCATGCCAAGGAGTCATTGGGGGTGTGCGGGGAGTATGGACCGCACCAGATGACCCCAACCCTAGTGATGCCACTGACTTCATGGCCAAAGTTTGCAATTCCTGCAGAGCAAAAGAGAGCCTTCATAATGCAAAGACCACGCTGGTAGGTAGTGTCATTTCTAAAACTGTTGATCATTAGCTGGATGGTATAGATCAAGATCTTTTTAACCAGCAGCACTTAGAAGAACTTGAGAAGGGTGACTGAAGGCAGCGATCACAATTTTTTCCTGTAATTACTGCATAATGAAACTAATTTCTTTTCACCCTGGATGCCTTTCACCTCTTGCCTTCAGCATTCTTGTGGAATCTGAATGATAATAATGAGGTGTCTGAAGACAGAGAGCTGGCTTTTTCCAACATCTTCCATGCAGAATACACTGGATTATATAACTCATGCTACATTCCTTGGTGAAACCTTTCTTCTTTATTTAAAAATGGAAAGATCACCCAAAAAATATTTAGGAGCAACCATTTTTTTCCAGCTAATGGGCTCAGTCTTGATGGCTGGTAGATGTAGAGCATCTGACTCCATTGTTAACTGGTGAGTTTACTACTACCAATAAAGGTGTAGTAAAATGAGTCCATTGTCCCCACCAAATAGGAAGTCTTCCCCCAATTAAATTTTCTTTCAGACCCCAGATTTTTAGCATTGCAGAGAGTGAGACATTGGGCTGGAACCGACAGAATGAAACCCAACAGTGACAAATGTAAAATTCTACATTTAGGCCACAAAACCCAAGCGCACACTGACAGGATGCCAAATACTTGGCTTAGCATCAGTACATTTGAAAAGGACCTTGGGAATATTGTTGAATGTCAGTTGAACATGACCTAACAGTGTGATGCTGCAGCAAAGAAAGCAAATGCTATTTGAACCTGCATAAATAGAATTTAATTTTTTTAAATTTTTATTGACATAATTGAATATAACATCAATACAAAACAACAAGCAACAACAACAAAAACCAAAAACAAACTACAAAACAGACAAAAAACAAAATACAATACAATACAATACAATGACATTAGTAAAATAAAATAACCTGCATAAATAGAATTGTAGTTTCCAAGGCAAGGGAAGTCATAATCCCACTATAATCTGGGCTGGTCAGGCTTCATCTGGAATACTGCCTTCGGTTCTGGGTGCTCCATTTGAAGAAGGATAGAGACAAGATGAAGGCTCAGAGAAGCTCAACTAGGATAAGAGAATAAAACTTAAAATAGGAAAGGTTGAAGGAGCTGGGCATGTTCAGCCTGGTGTGAAGTGAAGACTGAAGGGTGACATGGTTGTACTCTTTAAGTACTTCAAGGGCTGCCAAAAAAGGAGGAGGCAGGCTTGTTCTCAGAGAGTAGGACCACGTCGAATGGTTTAAAGTTACAGGAGGGTAGGTTATGATGGAATATTAGAAGGAACATCTTGATGATAAGAGCAGTTTAGCAATGGAGCCAATTCCTTAGGAAAGTTGTGGTGTCTCTTTCTAGGATGTCTTCAAAATGAGGCTAGACAGCTCCCTGCTGGGGATGCTCTAGCTCAGTGGTTCCCAAACTTTGGTCCTCCAGAAGTTTTGGACTTCAGTTCCCAGAATTCCTGACTGTTGGTCAAGCTGACAGAGCTTCCAGACTTCAAGTCCAAAACTCCTAGAGGACCCAAGTTTGGGACTCACTGGAAATGTCTAGCTGAAAATCCTACATTGGGCAAGGAGTTGGGCTCCATGGCCCATGAGGCTCCTTCTGACTCTAGGATCCTATGGGGGTGATTCTGTTCCTGCATGGCAGAGATAGAGAGATGTTGTAGACCAGGGGTAGGCAACCTTTCCCCTTTAAGGGCGGAGGGACTTCAGCTCCCATAATCTCAGGAGCTATTGGCCAACATGGGACTATTGGCCAACATGGCTGAGGCTTCTGGGAGCTGAAGTCCCTCAGCCCTTAAAGGGGAAAGGTTGCCTACTCCTGCTGTAGACCTTTGAGAAAGAAATGGGCAGCATGAGCTTTCCTAGACTTAAGTCTGCTTCCTCAGATGTATTTGGTGACAGAGTATGACAGAGAGTTTGTATGACAGAGAGTTTGACTAAATTGCCTTTATGGTCCTTCCAGTGCTATGCTTGCACCTGGGCAGGTTCATATATGGAGAACGACTGAGCCTAAACCATATAGGACTTTATAGGTCAAAGTTATATAGGACTTTATAGGTCAAAACCATCACTTTGAATTGTGCCCAGAAACAGACCAGAGGATGTGTATGATTCCTTTAACCACACAGAGTGGACAATGCTGTAAAGGTTGCAATGTTTTCTATAGGAAAGTTTGCAAAGGTCATCCAAGCCAGTCAGGGATCTCAGTAGGAAAATACATACTGTGATCTCTTGTGGGCTGGGAAATGAGAAGGTGACTCTTTTTTTATCCAAACAATTGCTGCAAAATCCTACCCACCTCCCACTATCATCCAGCCTGAATAAAATCTTTCCCAAAGCACCTTGAACCATCAGATCCATAATCCCTTATTGGAGATAAGCAGAGTTTACAGAGATTGTTCTAAGTTGAGCCCGCAAGCAATTGCATGCGCATTTTAAATACGCTCCGCTGTGGCGGGACAGGAATTTAAAGGGATGTTTTTCTAACCATTTACACAAAAACACTTCATGGAAAACAGTAAGAAACAAAATTAAGAGCAAAAGTGAAAGGGGGAATAACATTAATTGGTTCCAACGTACAAGTTAACAGGCTTTTCAATGTTTAAAAATGTATTGAAAGGCATGCTGAATATATATGAAGTTGACAAATAATGTTTACAGTTGAAAGGTTGTGTTTAATTTATAGTTATAATTGGCTTTCTTTTTTTAAAGGAAGAAAATACAGAAACCACTTCTCACCCTTCAGCTTTACTTGTACAATAATTGTTGCAAGAGGTCTTTATGTTTTTCAATTAGCTTTCCTTGCTACAGATTCACTGATGGAGCAAGTCATGCCTTTCCGCCTTAGTAGTGTTTTGCAGTCTTGACTTTGGATTTTGTGCTAAGCAGTGGATGAAGACTTTCTGTTGTTTCTGTGTGCTACAGGCAAGGAATCTGTATGGTTTGCACAGGACTGGAAATGCATTTGTGCAAATGGTGGGTTGTATTTATGAAATGTTTCCATATGCAGATTGCTGGACCCTATCAAAGCCCAAGTATTTCATTACTCCACAATGAACCACTCTGGACACACTTTTTACCCTGGGTCCCCACTTGCTCCTCTTGTCTTCTTGACTTGTAGTCCTGGCTAACCCAACACCCCACACTGATGTAATGATTCTGGATTTGAACCCTGGTCTCCAGAGTCATAATCCAATGCTCAAACCATTAGGCCACACTGTGTGTGCATCCCACATTGCAGATGCAGATATGTGTGTCTGTTTGGTTGTGCAATGAGGCAGATCATTACAGAGGTGGTGTTGCATTGTTACATTCAGTGTAGGGATTGTGCCCATTGAAATCAATAAAAAAATAATTATTTTTAAACCAGCCCAGCGTGCCCTTTCCTTACTCTCCAACCAAAGGAGACAATTCCTTTAGAAATGAATGTGTTTAGACTAACATTTGTTGTTGTTGTGTTCCTCCAAGTCATTTCCGACTTATGGTGACCCTAAGGCTATCCTATCATGGGGGTTTTATTGGCAAGATTTGTTCAGAGGGGATTGCCATTGCCATCTTCTGAGGCTGAGAGAGTGTGACTTGCCCAATGGATTTCCATGGGTGATGGAGTGGTTTGAGCATCAGACTACGAATCTGGAGACCAGGGTTCAAATCCCAGCTCAGCCATGGAAATCCACTGGGTGAACTGGGATTCGAACACTGGTTTCCAGAGTCATAATCTAATACTTAAACTACTGCACCACGCTGGCTCAATGGAGGATTAACATAGGGTGGCATTGTACATTCATTGACTTTTTAAGGTTTCTGGAGACCTTTTGCTGCTTTTGCATCTCCTGGGAAGCTAGAGGATGGGGTGCAAGTGGGGTGAAGGAGGAGCAATTTATGGAGCTGGGTATGTTTACCATGGAGAAGAAAAGGTTAATAGGGAACATGAAGGCCATATTTAAATATTTGAAGGGATGTCACATTGAGGATGCAGCAAGCTTGCTTTCTGCTGCTCCAGAGAACAGGACCTGGAGCAATGGATTCAAATGAGAGGAAAAGAGTTTCCATCTCAACATTAGGAAAAACTTTGTGATAGTAAGCAATCTTTGACAGTGAAAGACACTGCCTTGGAGGGTGATGGAGTCTCCTTCTTTGGAGGCTTTTAAAGAGAGGCTGGATGGCCATCATTACAGGAAGGGCTTTGATGGTGTCTTCTTGCATGGCAAAAGGGGGTTGGATTGGATGGCCCTTGGGGTCTCTTCCAACTCGACGATTCCACGGCATACTGCATTAGCTTTAACTGTGCAAATGCACTCCTGATTGCTGCTGAAACCTGGGCTTCCAGGCCCAGAGCAATGGGTGCAAACTACAGGGAAAGAGGTTCCTGCATGGCAGAATGGGGGTTGCGCTGGATGGTCTCTTTCAACCCTAGGGTTCTATGATTCGAAGGAAGGAAGGAAGGAAGGAAGGAAGGAAGGAAGGAAGGAGGTCTGAAAGGCAAGCTTTCTTTTTCTCCCATGAGTTGCAGCAGGCCAGCTCTTGCTTCTGCCATTGCCGCATCCTCCACCAGACTTCACTGCCGGAGGGGACCGCTGCTCTTGTCACGGTTTCCATGGCACTGCAAAGCCTTCCGGCTGAGGCCCTGCTGTCAGAGGTGCCTCTTCCAGCTCTCAGACAGCAGGAGCTTGTGTGTGTGTGTGTGTATGTGTTTTGTATTTGTGTTATTTGTGTGTGCAGTGAGGAAGATTGTCCTTCTGGTCCCCTCCATGCCTTGCCATTCGCCACTCCCCAAAATCTTTCTTTTCTGCATTTTGGTCCATAGGCAGAGAGTGAAGCAATGCCTCTCCACCCTCCAGATTGCAAAATAGGAAACTCTTGTCGTGTGTCATGGAAATATAATGTGATGTGACAGTTCAGGATTTTTATTATAAAAGGAGGGAAAACAAAGAATTTATTGGCAGTGGATGAGAAACAGTGCTTTGCTAGACAAATGCCCTGTGACTCATGCTGCAGTTTGTGAATATGAGCAACCAGAAGCTGAGCTAACTGGAGAAGCATCGAACCACAGTGTTGGAAGGGGACCACAAAGGCCAAGTAGTCCAGCCCTTGGCCATGCAGGAATCCAGCCCAAAAGTCTCCAAAGAAGAAGAGCTGCCACCTCCTGAGGCAGTCCATCCCACTCCGGAGCATCTCTTACAGCAAAGAAGCTCTTCCTAATTTTTAGGTGGAATCATAGAATCATAGAATCATAGAGTTGGAAGAGACCACAAGAGCCATCCAGTCCAATCAGTCTTGTACTTTGAATCCATGTCCTAGCCATTGTGTGAATCCATAAAACAGCATGGTGTAGTGCAGGGGTAGGCAACCTAAGGCCGGGGGGCCGGATGCGGCCCGCCGAGGCCTTTGGACTGGCCCCAGGCCGGTCTTGCCGCCGCCGCTGCCGCCCTCCATGATGATATTGATTATTGTTGTTATTACTTGTTCTTGGGGTTTTCTTGGCAAAATCTCCACAGGGGTTTTGCCATGGCTTTTCTGGGGCTGAGAGAGTGTGCGTGCATATTTTTTTAATTTTTAATTTTTTAATTTTTTTTAACTTTTAAAATTTTTATTTATTTATTTATTTATTTTTGGTGCTTCGGCCCCCCAGTTGTCTGAGGGACAGCAACCCGGCCCCCGGCTCAAAAAGGTTGCCTACCCCTGATATAGTGGTTTGAGTGTTGGAGTACAACTCTGGAGACCAGGGTTCAAATTCCTGCTTGAGCAAACCAACCAACTACTGGGTGACCTTGAGCAAGTGACACTCTCTCAGCCTCAGAGGGTGGCAATAGCAAACCCACTCTGAAGAAGCTTGCCAAGAAAACCCTATGATAGGATTGCCTTAGAGTTGCCATAAGTCCAAAACAACAACAACACAACAAGATGCACCTCACTGACCCGGAAGCAAATCCGCCTCCAATGAAAGCAACAACTTGTGATAGAGATAGGGATCGAGGGGGAGGTGGAGAAGTGGGGAAAGCAAGGAAGAAAAGCATATCTAAAGAAATAATGATATTCTAGTGTGAAAACTGAAGCAATAGTGGCATCCAGTGGCACTTTCCACTAATAAAGCACTGCATAAAGCATTAATAAAGCACTGTATAAAATTCTCCAAATGATATATAGTCAGACCTCTCCATATTCACAGATTCTGCCTCCATGGAGTCAACCAACCATGCTTTGAAAATAACACTCCCCCTCCCCAAAAAACACAAATAACATTCCCAAAAGCAAGCCTTGATTTTGCTGTTTTATGCAAGGTATGCCATTTTACTACACCTTTGCCATTAAACTTGAGCATCCATGGATTTTGGTGTCCATAGGGGGTCCCAGAACCAAAACCCAGTATATTATACTAAGGGGTCAGAGGGGCATATTCATGAATTATCATAGCATTTGTCTCCTAGATTTTGAACTTGCAGACCTATTTCATTCCGTTAGGTAGCAAGGATCAAAGTTGCCAAAACTTGGATAAGTTACTGTCTGGGTGGTTCTGAGCGCTGGCCCATTTTCTGGAAGGTTACAACTGGGCCCTGTAATTCCAAAAAGTAACTTTTCTACACTAGACCTAATCAGGAATAAACAAGCTATGCCTACAGTTTGAACAGCTTTCAATGCACCAGGATAACTGAACCTTAGAAAGTTATCTTTTAAAAGGAATGAGTGGAAGTTACATCTCCAAGGTGCAAAAAAGCAGTTGCCATTGTAGTTGTTTTGAAAAATGCAACTGTTGGCTTTGTGAATATTCAAAAGTCACTGAAAGGCTTATCCTTCTTTTATTTGGAAAAAAAGGGAAAAGTTACAAGCCAATGGCTTGGGATACAAAGTATACTTAAATAATGAGGCAACATACATGCTGTAACTGTAAAAGGAAATAAAGCACTGTTACACTTTCACACACAGAAAAATAAGTGCAATTATCCCTTGTTACATTGCAAACATGATACAAGGTTGCCTCACCAAGACAGATGGGGAAACCATTAGCTGGATTCACATTTCCCTTTGGAAATAGCCATTTTGCATCACCTGAGACTTCCACTGGAATGGAATTAATCTTTGCTCAGAAATCTCTGCGTTTGCAAGGCTTCCAATGCATTTGGGAAAAGACAAAATGGAGATGGAACCATGTGTACCTTTCATAAAGGCATGCCACTAAAAATGTGTCTCTTTGAAAAATACATCCGCAAACGTCTCGGTCGATGGAAAAAAGAGGAATGGTTGAGATCCTGCCTCATGTATATGCAGAGTAAATTAGCAGCTCCTCTGCATCTCAGAAATAAAGCAGTTTGACACCACTTTAAACTCCCACGGCTCCATCCTGTGGAATCCTGGGGTGTGTAGTTTGGTGAGGTGTCCAGCATGGCCTATCAGAGAGCTCTGTCGCCTCACCAAACTACAAATCCCAAGATCCTGTAGGATAGAGTCTTGGCAGTTAGAGTGGTGTCAAACTGCTTTATTTCTGCATTGAGAATGCACCCTTAGTTAAATGATGGCTGTGCAACTCCATCTTTCTAGTTAGGAATACTGCACAACCCATTGTGTATCTGATTGTGTACCTATTTATTTTCCTTTGATGCAATGGCTGTCTCCACAATCCCAGTGAATCAAGTGAAATGCTGGAGGCAGCAATGAATACTTCATTCACCAACCAAGGATACACACTTGCATGCCCAATGGTTATATTTACAGAACTCTACAGTAAACTGAATTATACAATAGCAATAGAAAAGTACAACTGCATATATACATACAATTGTATTTTTTTTTCCTTTTAATTGTTCGAATTTGTAGTTTTAATCTTCATTTGATTTAATACTGTTTTAAGGGGGAGAGGGATTGTATTTTGGAATATATTGTATGGTTATATTGTTGTAAGCCACCCTGATTGGGTCCCCAATGGGCAGGATATAAATAATAATAATAATAATAATAATAATAATAATAATAATAATAATAATAATAATAATAATTGTTTGCATGTGTGCAAAATGCCATGGAAACCCACTGAGTGACCTTGGGCAAGTCACACACTCTCAGCCTCAGAGGAAGGCAACGGTGGCAAACTCCCTCTGAAGAAATCGTGCCAAGAAAACCCATGACGGGTTTACCTTAGGCTTGCCATAAGTCAGAAATGACTAGAAGGCCCACAACCCAAGGAACATTGCATGTCATTCTTCCTGTTCACAACATGGTCCTAGCAGGAATGGAAGATGTAGAAGATAAAGCATCAAGAAGGTGTTTAGATGTTGCAAACCTGAGTCCTGTTTTGGGCACCAGAGTTTATGAAGGATACAAACAAGACAGAGTATGTCCAAAGAAGGGCAACAAAAATGGAAAACAGTCTGGAAACCAGGAACCGTTGAAGGACTTGGATATATTTAGCCTGGAGAAGAGAAGATTGGCCTTTGGTGCTCCAGGTATTTTGGACTTCAGCTCCCATTATTCCTGAACATTGGCCAAGTTGGTTGGGGCTTCTGGGAGCTGAAATCCAAAGTGAATGGAGCCCAAAGGTTGTCTTAGGGCCATCTTCAAAGATCTGATGTCTTTGAGAAGTTGGAGCAAGTTTGTCTTCTGCCTGTTCAGAGGATAGGACCCTGAATAACAAAAAAAGAGATCCTGACAAAATGTTTGGAAGATTTTCCTGA